TTTTTTTTAGTTTCAATAGACCTTTATTTGTTTATTTTTATGCGGTATTGAGATTGAATCCAATGCCTCACATATGCTAGACAAGTGCTCTACCACTGAGCCACAACCCCAACCCTCTTTTTCATTTCTTAAAATATTATTTATATACAATACAATTCACCAACTTTTAAGTATATGGTTAATTTTGATAATTATGTATAGCTTCATAACCACAACCACAATCAATGTATAGAAGAGTTCCCACACTCTAAATAATGTCCTCATGATCTTTTGCACTGTCTTCCTCCCCATCACTCTTCCTGCCCTAGGAAACCACTGACCTTTCTGACAAAAGTGATGGTTTTAAAAGCTCTGTTCCAATTTGGATTTAGCAGTGTTTTTCTCCATCATTATAAACTTGTGTGAATTACACCAGTTTGCTTCTAAATCCTATTCCCAGTCCCTCAGGATGAGTTTTGATGTTAAGTTTAGTTGTCTGAAAATAACTACATTACTTATAAAATAAGAATTTTAGAAACTTAAAAGAAATTTTAGCTCCAGATTCTATGACAACCAAAGAAGTGGTTTCTTTTTAGTGAAGTGGAAATGTCATTTGTTTGGATTTATACACTGAAAAAAAAAAACCCAAGTGACAAAGAACATGTGAAAATAAAGAAAATATTCAACAATTCATTAATCCTATTTGACCATAATCTTCCTCTGACGGATCTTGTTCATAAGTGTTGGTTAGCTCTAGTACTTTTAAAAAAGTTTTTTATAGTTGTACATGGACAGCATACCTTTATTTATTTTTTAAATTTTTGTTGTAGATGGACACAATACCTTTATTTTATTTATTTATTTTTTTAAAGAAAGAGAGAGAGAGAGACAGAGAGAGAGAATTTTTTAATATTTATTTTTTAGTTTTCGGTGGACACAACATCTTTATTTTTATTTTTAGTGGTGCTGAGGATTGAACCCAGTGCCTCACACTTACTAGGCATGCACTCTGCCACTGAGCTACACAGCCCAGCCCTATCTCTAGTACTTTAAAGAACTTCTTCATCCACAATTCTCAACTTGATTCAAGGCATGTCACAACCTGGACTTGCAGGTTCTTCTACACTGTAGGTTCCAAAATCCTAAATCTTGGTGAATTAGAAGACTATTTGCTTCTGATGTGTTTCTAGATTTATTCACATTTACAGAAAAGCAATAAAAAGATGTGTTATCACATAGTATTCAGAGTTCTTTTTAGTGTATTATACTTAGATCTGTTATAATGAAGTAATAATTGATTATTTTCCAGATTTTTTTCTAATGATCATGATGGTTTTATTTTAGAAGTCACAGGCCCACCAACACTGTTAAAATAACTATCCTTGGACCCGGTAAAGAAAAGGTACTTTTATCTTCTCTCAGAAATAAATATAACTTTTGCTCATTTTTATAAAATAACTAAAACAATAAAAATTGTTTTTAAAGGATTTATTTATTGAAAATGTATTTGAAAAGTTACTATAGCTTTTCTATTTTACCCAGATGGAAATACTTATAAAGACATTGAAAACTATAAAGTACTATATAAATGTGAATTGAGGAATTTAATTCTAGTTTAGTTGACTGTTATGATTTTTTATGAACCTGGGGCGCCTAACCACTGAGCCACATCCCTAGCTCCTTTTTATATTTTATTTAGAGACAGGGTCTTGATAAGTTGCTTAGAATATTTTTTTAAAAATATTTTAGTTGTAGATTGTCACAATACCTTTATTTCATTTATTTTTATGTGGTGCTGAGGATCAAACCCAGGGACTTGCATGTGCTAGGTGAACACTTTACCACTGGGCCACAACCCCAGCCCCACTTAGAATCTGGCTAAATTGCTGAGGCTTGCTTTGATTGTGATACTCCTGCCATAGTCTCCCAAGCCACTAGGATTACAGGCATGTGCTATCACATCTGGCCTTGCTGTTAAGATTTTCATTAAATAAGTATAAATATTTAATTTAAAAAATTAAATATTTTCTAAAATAAGGTAGGGAATGAATGAATGAAGGAAGGAAGGAAGGAAAGAATGAATGAATGAACAAATGAACAGAGTGAGGCAGTCATCAAGTATTTTTCTGAATCTCAACTCATGTCCCACTACTGCACATATACACCTTTATATCATATGAATAAGTTAACACAACTTATGTCTACTTAAACAATAACAATATATGTGAAGGAATAGGTTCTTTTTGACTAAATATATGGAAAGCCACCTACCTACTCAATAGTAAAAGAACAGTTGAATGAACAGAAGTATCTTTTCTTTTTTTTTTTTTTGTAAAATATGTTTTTAGTTGTAGTTGGACACAATATCTTTATTTTTTATTTTTATTTTTTATGTGGTTCTGAGGATCGAACCCAGTGGTTCGCATATGCTAGGCAAACAGTCTGCCACTGAGCTACAACCCCAGCCCCAGAAGTATCTTTTCTTAAACTCCACACAACTAGATCCTGCTTCCAGGTGCTACCTCAATAAATTATGCTTTTGTTCCTTTCTAAATACCATTATTGAATTATATATTTGGAACAAAGTCTAACTACAGTGGGGAGGGGAATATTGGTAAATGGAAAGGAGATAAAGCTTAAAAGTATGTAATTGTGAAAAACCCATCATGATGAGAAAGAGGATGAAGAAATGATAGGGAAAGAAGTTGAAATATATGTGACTTTTTTGGAGGGAGGGATTATGAAGGATTGAACCCAGGGGTGCTTAACCGCTGAGTCACATCCCCAGCCCTTTTTATAGTTTGAGACAGGGTCTCACTAAGTTGCTTAGGGTCTCTCTAAGTTGCTGAGGCTGGCTTTGAACTCACAATCCTCCTGCTTCAGCCTCCTGAGCCACTGGGATAATAGGCATGTGCCACTATGCCCAGCAAAATATATGATTTGTATATTTAGGATTAATTAATGGAAATATCACTAACAATGAACTTAACTCAGAATGTACTTTTTATATTTTAAGACTAAGACTAGATTAATTCTGGAAAATTCTCATTTCCAAACTAAGTACATTGTTTTGTGAAGATGCATCAATAACTAAGGGATCATTTGCTTGTGCTGTGAAGCTTGGGCTGGTGTTGAAAATCATTCAAATATATCAGCAGTTAAGACCTGATAGGAAGTTGGCTTCTTTGAATATTTAAAATAAAGTGTGCTTAGGGATGGGGATATGGCTCGGTGATAGGGCACTTGCCTACCATGAGTGAGGCCCTTGATTCCATCCCTAGCATTGCAGAAAAATTAAGTATGCTTAAATTGAAAATAGTGCTTGGGCTGGGGCTATATAGCTCAGTGGCAGAGCATTTGCCTAGCATGTGTGAGGCACTGGGTTCGATTCACAGCTAAATAAATAAATAAATAAAGATATTATGTCCATTTACAACTAAAAAAATATTTAAAAAAAGAAAATAGTGCTTTATCAACTTAAAACCGGTTTTCCTTTTATAAGATATTTATATGTAAAACATTTTTATCACATGAAAGTGCTTGGAGTTTTCTTAGAATTTATCATTTAAAAATTGTTTTGGGAAATGTGAGGATGTGGCTCAGTGGTACACCCCATGCCTAGCATGCATGAGGCCCTGGGTTCTACACCCAGTACTGCAAAAAAAATATGGTTTGGGGATGGCAGTATAGCACAGTAGTAGAGTTCTTGCCTAGCATGTGCAAGGCCCTGGGTTTGATCCCTAGCACCACCCAAAAAAGTTGTTTTTATTGTTCAATTTTAACATAATGGATTTGGTCTCTACGCAGTATCTTAGTAGATATGTAACATCTACTATCTACTGTGACATCGGTTGCTCTGGGGGACATCTGCTTTTTTCTTTTAGGTGTACCTAAGGGAACTCCAAAACAAATTCTGTGTATACCACCTAGTCTATATTTTATGTCAAACCCTCCCAAGCATACCCTACACAGCTCTAGTAAAAATTCATCTGGACCTTCTTGGCCAAATACAATAACAGATAAATCTAATCTTATTTGTATATTTTGAAATATGAATATTCACTAGGAAACAATGACCTATGTCCTATTTAGAGTCCATTAGCCCAAATGAAACAGGGGGAAAGATGATATAAAAATAGAAATGAGGTCCTGGTGGCAGGCGTGGGGGTCAAGTAGGGATGTGTGTGTGGTGATGCTAAAAAGAATGAGGACTCTGCCAGGCGGGCATGGTGGCACAGGCCTATTATAATCCCAGCAATTTAGGAGGCTGAGGCAGGCCCCCTAACAACTTAAGTTCAAGGCAAGCCTAACAATTTAGTAAGATCCTCAAGCAACTTAGAGAGACCTTGTCTCAAAAAACAAAAAGGACAGGGAAGTGGCTCAGTGGTAAAGCACTTCTGGGTTCAATCCTCAGTTCCTCAGTACCCTCCCTCAAAAGAATGAGGACTCTATAAAGTGAAGGAATGTGAAATAAAGATCAGAGCCTCTAAGCAAATGAAGGCATATTGTATGTGATAAGTAACAGTTATTTCCACTAGGAGTAAGCAAGAACAAATAAGTGTTCAAGTGGGAAGTGTAAGAACTTTGTAAAAATTATGCAGAGTAAATAATTTTTTTAAGTAATGATGGTTTTAGCAAAGAGTTTTTCTTCTTTCTTTTCTTTCTTTCCAGGTATTGAACCCAGGGGCACTTAATCACTAAGCCACATCCCCTGACCTTTTTTAAAATTTTGAGACAGGGCGTCACTAAATTGCTAAGGCTGACTTTGAACTTGGGATCCTCCTGCCTCAGCCTCCCTAGCTACTGTGATTACAGGCTTGTGCCACTGTGCCCTGCTTAATTTTCTTTTATGAGGAATTTTTTGTCATGTTTTTAATTTAAAAAAAAAGACAAATGAGTTTTTCTGTTGTTAGTTTTTTTTTTTTTAATTCCCTTGTAAGTGTAATCTGGCCATAGGATAGGATGCCAGACTTCTTCTGAGCTTTATGAACCATTATTATACTCGCAAGGAACTTCTATGGGATCTCTATCTCTAGGATGAT